TGTCCTCCCTGGTCCTTGATTCCAGTCTCTAGGAGACAGACCCTAGCTCAGCATTCATTTGCCACATCAGAAATGGGTTGTCATTCATTGCTGTGCAGGTTTCCACGTTTGCTCCTATGTACGGATATTTGGAGGCCTGGGGTTATTTTTGTTTAGTTTTTGAACACTCAAAAGTTTCTAGGTCTGATCTTATGGTGTCTTTGGTGGTACATTTCGTACAAAACTTATTAAAGTGTGTATTAATGTATTTATATCTATTAGTTCAAGTCCATTTTATGTCAATGAATACACTGGAGGCTCTTTTGAAGATAAAGCTCTCAAATTGTTCGTAGTGCTTTTCTGCCTGCATTTCTCTCTCCTTTGACTTAATGTCAATCCCCTGGATGCTACCTAAAATGCTTAAGTAACCGTACCATTAACATGATCTTTGTCTTGAGTCATTCCATTCAGCTGAGGGATTTTACTGTGTTTTTTTGTCCAAAATACTTTTTTTTTTTTTTTTTTTTTGACAGGCAGAGTAGACAGTGAGAGAGAGAGACAGAAAGGTCTTCCTTTGCCGTTGGTTCACCTTCCAATGGCCGCCACGGCCAGCGCGCTGTGGCCGGCGCACCATGCTGATCTGAAGGCAGGAGCCAGGTACTTATCCTGGTCTCCCATGGGGTGCAGGGCCCAAGGACTTGGGCCATCCTCCACTGCACTCCCGGGCCACAGCAGAGAGCTGGCCTGGAAGAGGGGCAACCGGGACAGAATCCGGCGCCCCGACCGGGACTAGAACCCGGTGTGCTGGCGCTGCAAGGCGGAGGATTAGCCTAGTGAGCCGCGGCACCAGCCACTTTTCTATTTTTTAAAAAAGCAATTTTACATTCACTGTTCAGGGTCTACACTCGGCTTTTCAACCCTAGAAGGCATCAAGTTTCTAAACTTTTCCTCAACTCTTTCCTTTCTTCTTGAAAACTGCTGAGTTATTTCTCTGACCTTATTCCATTCTTGAATTATACTAATGATCTCACTCTTATAATATCGTTATTAGTATAAATGGCCTGATTACTTATAAATATCTATTATAATGTGACAGGTGATTACCTCTCAGATCATCACAAGTGGCACTTAGACCACCATTCTGCACTATATAATATGAATAATTACCATCCCAGCTTCGGACATCGTTTCAGACCCATCCATTTCTTTACTGTCAATACAACACCACAGATTTGCAGTTTCAAGATACCGCTTTCTGTGTTAGTAAGGATGAGCTAGTTACACTAGCTTGCTAAATATCCCACAGAATATCAGTAAACAAAACGAAAAAAAAAAAATCTTGCATACGAAAAATCTGAGAAAGAGAAGCTGGGTCTGCGAGGCTGGTCTTTTCCCAGTGGTGATCCTGCGCTTCAAGTTCTCTCATCTTACACCTCCGCCACCTCGGAACCACTGATTTCAGTGTCACCATCAACACCAATGCGGAAAAATGAGCCAAAGCCTGGAGGAAGATTTCAGGAGCCAGTCTCAGAAGTGGCTTCTGTTGCTTTTGTCTGCACGTCATTGGCTGTAAAACATCTAACCCCAAATCTAACTTCACTACAGACTGGGAAAGGCACCACAATGATGAGAATTTAGACATTACCACAATACCCAGATCTCATTGTTTATATTCTCCTCGTATGTTTTTTTTTTTTTTCATTCTTTTACTCTCATGCTTTCTAAGTTCTTATTATTTTGGGTATTTCTTTTGTAGATATTATATAACTTAATTTTAAAAAGCTGATCTGGCCTGGCATTATGGTACAGTAAATTAAGCTGCTGCGTGTGATGCTGGCATATCCTACTGGAGTGCCAGGCGGTGTCCAGGCTACTCTACTTCTGATCCAGCTCCCTAAGGAACCCAGGAAAGCAGTATATGATGGTCTGAGTCCTTGGGCCCGTGTCACCCACATGGGAGACCTGGATAGAGTCTCAGGCTACTGGCTTGATTCTGGCCCAGACCCAGTCATGGAGGTCATCTGGGGAATGAACCAGTGGAAGACCTTTTCCTCTCTCTCTGTTCCTCCCTATCTCTGTTTTACTCTTTCAAATAAATAAACCTTAAAAATATATAAATACAAAAAGAAAAATGTGCTCTGACAATCTATTATTCACATAGGGAGTTTCGTCCATTTAATGTGATGATTTATAACACTTCCTTTTTGCTTTCACAAGATAGCTACCCCTTTATTATTTAATTTCATTTTTCAAGTCTTTTTAAAGATTGATCAACTCTGCTTTATCCTTTTCCCTATTGCTCTACTGACTTAGAAGTTAAACATTCCTTCTCTGTTTTCAGTAACATCACTATTTCCTCATCAGAATGATTTTTAAAAATTCCATAATCAAAAATATCCATGCCAAAATTATTGCCTGTGGTTTAGTTTCTCTTATTTTAAAACTCACAAATGAGTGATTGCTCTTATTAATACTTCTATTTTACCATGAAATCACTGTCTATTTGCATTTACACATGCACTTATCAATTTTCTTTCTGTTATTTTCTCCACAGCAGTAATTATTAAATATTAATCTCCCTTTCTGCTATGGATTTTCTTCTTCCTGTGGCACAGGTCCTTTCCTTAATGGCCTATTAACTGTATTCTTTTCATTTGTTCAGCTATGTCTTCTATCTTGCAATATTCATTAATGCTAGTTTTCTTGCCCATAAAGAATGTAACAATTAAAGTACATAAAGAATGAATGAACAAAGTAATGGTTAATACAGACAAGTCCAAGTACACTTTGAAGTGTCACTTTCTAAGTGTTTCAATGTAATTAATTTAGAGTCAATATGATTAAAATAAGGGAATTATCTGATAAAAGTGTTCTATCTAAATGTGGAGTACAGTGGAAGGCTAGAGTTGGATACATACTTCATTTTCTTCTATAACTATTGGGAAATATTTATCAAAACACAAGTGAAGTTCCCATAATCAGTACTTTTATCTTACTATCAAATTCTTAATAAAGCAATGTTATTTTGTTTTCCTTGTCATACCATTCAGACATACAATTAACAGGCAATGCAAAAATAAATGACATCATGTTCTAGGATAATCCTCAAAACTTTCAAGAAAATAATCTAGAAAGAAGAGCTTGTGCTTGAGTGGTCTCTTAGAATATATCTGTGATTACCTGGCTATTATTTATTTATACATTTTGAAACCTATATAAATTGTAATAGAATACGTAATTATTGTCTTGACTCCCTACCCCCACAAAACAGTATTATAGGGCATTCTTCTTTCAGAAACTCAACGGTCTAGCAGGCAAATAACCTGACAAAGCCGATTTGTCAATGTCAGAAGAATTATCCCTCTTCCAAGATGATCAAAGATGTCTAGGCTTGAGGGAAAAAAAGACTGAGTCAGAATTATGCGAAGCTCAAAGAATCTAAATTTCTTATCAAATTGTTTCTGCTCAACTCAAAAACATTACTTAGGAAGCCATTTATCTTTTAGATAGATGGTGAGTGAAGAAGATTTATTATTTTACTGCAAACTTCAGTGTTATGGAATATAAATTGACTTTGGGCAGACCAAAGAGCCTATCAAAGTCAGAGGACATCCAAGTCAATCTCTAAATATGTGAAAAATGCATGGATTAAGAAGTTAGAGAAACCCAATACCAAACAGAATGTGAATGGCTTTATCTAAATGATTTTTTTTTTTTTACTACCAGCCATTATAGAAAGACATGTACTATAGGCTTACAACTTCAGCTTATGTAAATATATATGTATATATTTAATATAATTTATTTGATAGAATTTCATTTAAAAATCAATTAAAAAGGTGATGTGCTATTCCATGAACCTTTTGAGGTACCCTCATGTACCCTACTAGGTATTGGGGATATCAATGTAAACATAAACATGGCTCAGAAGATTCCTATTGAATCTTCTCTAGGAAAACTGAAATATATGACACACACATAGAAAAACTGCTATAAATTAAGAAAACAGGTCACCAATTTTTAAGGTTTAAACCTAGGTTCTCTGAACATTAATTTATGTGGAATTCCTCTCGCATGATGCCCCATGATAACTAAGACATTAATCAACAACCTTTATGTCATCTCAATTTATTTTTTTTCCAATGAAAACAATTGTAATTTAGAAAGTTCCTAACTTAATGATAACTTTGTGGTCCTAAGGAGGAGGGATTATGAAAACTTAGTGTATATGATACCATTTTTGTAAAAGGTAAGTGAGTCCAAACTGACCCCTACGTTAGAATTTGAGATGCTGGTTATCCTAGGGCTGAAACGCAGCTGGGCAGGCTAGGAAATGTTCAGTTTCTGGGCCTGGGTGTTGAATCATGGGTTTATTTGGTGGTGAAAATTCACTGAGCTATACACTTGCCATATGTGACTTCTCTATCTGTACATCATGCTCCAATACAAAAGTTTTCAAAAACTTGAAAGCAGTATTTGAGCCATATGCTATCAAGAAATGCAATGCTAGTCAGCCTGTCCCTTCGAAGCTGTCTGAAATAAAAGCCCAAGGAATATTTGTCAAAGCCAAGGCTACCTATGAAATACCTTTTAATCTTGACTTTGCCGGGTTAATGCAGTAATACTAAATATTATTTATGCAGCAATATGAAATATTATTTTTATTGTTCACAGAATGTGTCAACAAAGTAAAATCAATGTATGTAAGATGGCAAATACTGACTTTGTTCAGAATTCTACTATATGAATTAATAAAGTGTTCATTTTCTATAATTATACAATAGCATGTAAATAAATGATTCTTAAAGATGAACAAGATCACAGGCAAAAAAAAAAAACTGTTCAATTAATGGTAGAACTTGAGGTCCAACTAGATCCTAGAATTATGTATTCATTCACTGTCCTAATGTTGGATCTCTGGGCCCAATCAGTAAACTTTTCAGGAATAGTTATCACATTGTGGTTTCTACCATGCAAAGGCCCACTGATAACAGAAGACTTGTCTCTTTGTCTCCTAACAGAGAGAAAAGAAGAATATTGTTGCTCAACAAATTAAAAGATCCAGTAGGGAGGACCTTGTCATTGCTGACAGCCCGCCCCCATCCATGACATCAATTATGAAGAACAACCCACTCTACAATGACCTAAGTTTGGAGGAAGCCATGGAAGAAAGGAAAAAGAATCCTTCATGGACCATTGAGGAATATGACAAACATTCTGTGCATTCAAATCTCTCTGGACATTTGAAGGTACATAGATGAACAATCAGTCCAGATGGTGCAGATCAGTTAAGCAACCTGAAAAGGGGCATTAAGATGACAGACACTCTCCCTTAGGCACAGACTTTCCAGCTCTCAAATCATTTGGGCCCCTGGCTTTCTCTTCTCCCCGCTACTCAGAATCTATGTTGATTTGTTTGCAGTTTTACAGGTTTAGCAGTTACTGTCAACTGTATGGTATAGATAGAAAAAAAAATGATACAGAACAGAGCAAGAGTTTTCCAGGGATAAAAGTCTTTTGAAAACTAATTTTCAAGATTACATATGATTCTCTCCGGTTTGTGACCATTTATGTACATGAACACTTTAGGGATGATTCTCTATTCTACATTTTTACAAACATATTTATTATCTGAGCTATCTTAGGCATGACGCAAAGAAGCTCTCATCTGAGATTATTTTACTTCAAGCCCACTCAATGATTTAAGGTTACAGATTTACATTCTGGTCCTTTTCCTTTGTCTCAGTAACAAAACAAAACAAAACAAAAACATTTCAACACAGGAAAAGTATGCAATGAACTCATTCACCCAGCTTAAACCCAACTTAAGTTTCCTTTCTTTCCCCCCAACCTCTGATGTCACCCATCAGGAACCTAGAAATACCTGAACCACAGAGGGTGGCCCTGTTTTCTGAATGGCCTGGATTGCTGCCTAGCCTTGGCTTGCCTCTACCTGCCTGCACCAGGAAGACCTCACACTTTCTAAGTAATCTTCATCTAAAAATGTGTGTCTTGTCTATGCTGCATAAGTTAAGCACCTGAGGACTTTTTTCTTTTGAAGGCTACAGTATTATGTCCTCCTAAATCCTACTCATTTTTCAAAATCTCACACGTGTATTCCTTGAAATACCTTATTGTGCAGAATCTTTTAAGTTTCTTAATCTCCTATTTGAATTAATGTCCTCCCCCCTCAATAAAGATCTTTGCACAGAAGTTTCCAGAACAGCTGCTCCACACCGCAACAATTATCCTGTTTCTTTTTTTTCTTTTATCTTTTTTTTTTTTAAAGATTTAGTTTATTTGAAAGGCAGAATTACATAGAGAAGGAGAGTGAGAGTGAGCGAGTCAGAGATCTTCTACATGCTTGTTCAATCCCCAAATTGCCACAAAGGCCAGGGCTGGGCCAGGCTGAAGCCAGGAGTCAGGAGCTTCTTCTGGGTCTCCCAGGTGGGTGCAGGGGCCCAAGCACTTGGACCAACCTTCGTTGCTTTCAAAGATGCATTAGCAGGGAGCTAGATAGGAACTGGAACTGGCACCCATATGGGACGCTCGCACTGCAGGTGGCAGTTTAACCCACTGTGCCACAGCACTGGCCCATATTGTTTCTTTTCTTTTCCTTACTTTCCCTTTCACTTTTCTTTTATTTCCTTTCTTTTCTTTGCTCTAATCCACACTACCCACCCCCACCCTCCAGTCTTGTGTTTCTCAGGACTTCTAAAAAATCTACTATTAGGGGAAAAAATGTATTGATTTATTTCACAACATTTTGATCTTAGCCCAGGTTCTCTTCCCTTCTCTTTGTTGTTCATGTGCCTGAGAAGCTAACTGCAGAAAGGAATACTATTGTTCCTGCTATTAAGCTGTGCAGATTCAGAAGGGGGGAAAAACCATTTGTCATGAAAAGTTAACTTATAAGAATCTGAAGAATGTGTGCATTTCCAAAAGGTTTCAACAGAGGACAGACTCTTGGGGGTTGGGGGGCGCGCCTGTTTCCGGAGTGCCAAAAGCAAAGGTAGAAACAAGGAATTCGTCAATACAATAAATAGTCCAATTTTGCTGGAGCTATAGTTTAAGTAATAGAATAGTGGGGAAAAAAGGCTAAAAAGAAATGACTAAGAGAAACTGTAAGAAGGGTCAGCATTTCAGCTGCTGCATTGATGCTGGTATCCCTTATAATAGTGACAATTTGAGTCCTGGCTGCTCTGCTTCCAATCCAGCTCCCTACTAATGCACCTGGGAAGGCAGCAGATGATGGTCCAAGTACTTGGGCCCCTGCCAACCATGTGAGCAACTTGGATGGAATTCTTGGCTCCCAGCTTCTGTCTGGCTCAGCTGTGGCTGTTCTGGGCACCTAGGCAGTTAACCAGCTAGAAGCCTCCCCCCCCCACTGTCTGTGTGTGTGTGTGTGTGTGTGTGTGTTTGACTCTGTCATTCTGTCTTTTGGTTCAATAGACAAATAAATCTTAAAATATAGAAGTGGTTTGAATTTGAAACTAAAGAAATTGAATATTATCATCAATAAGGAATAATTTTATTGAAGTTGGACAGTTATGTGAGTTACTTCTTAGGAAACTGAAACACAAACATGATGGAAGCATTGTTTTACTAAAATCACCCATTCTCCAAGCCTATTCACTGACCTCTTGATAGTGTTCTTTAGCACTAATTTTCTGAGTGAAGCTGAAGTCAAGGCATTATTTTCAATAGAATTTCTTCCTATACCTTGATAATTCAACTTCCTATGGCGCCACTCCTATCCATATCTCATAATTAGCATCCAGAGTCCACGTATTTTCTTAAATCTTGATATCACTTACGGATTCTGTACATAAAAGGGGCCTTTAGCCTCTCCCATTTTTCTAAATTGCTAGGAGTGTGTTTCAGAAAAAGAGAAAAGAGAACCTGTATTTGATCATCAAGGTGGGCTACAAGCAGAATGTCACAGAAGATAGTCTCTGATATGCAAGCTGTTTGTGGAGAACAGCTGCATTAAGCTTGCAAAGCGCAGGCCCCTGATGACCACACAGACAACATAAAAGAGGAGTTGGACCTTTTCCTCAGGAGGTCAAAGAGTGCCAAGGTTTCTGTAGGGAAGACCAGCAGTTGTGTTTCCGACCCTCCAGCGAGGGCAGTGCAAGAAAGCACGCAGAGTTTTAGTTGGTTCTGACAGAGACCCACAGCTTGGAACTGCAGGGATAGCCCTCAGCCAGGAGCCTGTAGCTGCAGCCTTGGGCTAGGGAAGCCCTGGCTCTTAGTTGAGACCCGGCACTGAAGCCTCACCCAGGACAGCCCAAGCAGCGACCTGAAGCCCCTCTGACTGTGTCTTGTTCTGTGGTCTCAGTCTGTAACACTGCTTGGTTACTGATCGATCTTATTCTCCATGTCATTTTCTTTTAGGAAAATCCTAATGACCTACGGTTTTGGTTGGGAGACATGTATACACCAGGTTTTGATACCTTACTGAAAAAAAAGAAGAAACACGACAAGAGATCAAAACTGTGCCATATGGGGCTGATATTACTCCTGGTTACCTCCATTCTGGTTACCATAGTGACTATTAGCTCTTTCTTTGCCTAAGGAGACTTTCACAAACAGAGCCACTTTAAATGTCCTAAAATGCTTCTATCTAAATGTTTGCAGACAAACATGCTCACTCAGTGTGAATGTGTTGCACAGTGTGCTGTTAAATGTAACCATCCTGGGGATGGGCACGTTGCCTGTGATATGTGGGTGTTTCTACTGTGATCTATGTAATCTCTGTAAAAATTCCAGCCAGTGCTTTGCCCTCAAAGAAGTGGTAATTCCAGGGACTGCAACCCCAGAAAAACCACAATATACAACCTAAATTTAACATTTTTGTAGAGCACAAAACAGCACAATCAGCAGCAGCTTGGTCTTAATGCTCAAGCCACATTCACCTTGACTGTGAAATGCTCCAACGTCCCTCTGCCCCATCTCTGCAGTCACTAGAACAGTGTGAGCTGACTGTTTTCTGTTCAATATCCAGGCAGAAAGGGGGAAGCTTCTGGTTGTGGTGACAATGATGTGGATTCATTCTGTTTTAATCTTCCTTATTTCTGTTTGTATCAGAAAAAAAATGGGTGTTGGAGGGAGACTATTCAAACTTTTCTTATTTTCCAAGTAATACTTTAAAATGTCACCCGTTGTGTCATAATTTTACTAGAACTAAACCTAGACTGGCCTACTTATCTAATTACATTTGTATCCAATTGCACTTACTGATTCATTCAAACTGGCTAGTGTGACCCCTGGTGGCAGTCAGTGAGTATACAATCCTGGCCATGGCCCTAGAAAAGCAGAGGGAATGATGCTAAGAGAACAGGGTTTGACTCCTAACTAACCATTTGCTAGCTGGTGAGCCCTGGGCAAGTTATTCTGCCAGAAAAGAGGGCTGGCCTGAGAACTACGTAGAAACACAGGTAAGAACAATACCTGGCCTCTCAGAATTAGTTGCTTAGTTAGCGGCAACTGTTGTCACTAATTTGCGTTGGCTAACGGGCAGCCCCAGTTCACCCTGCACAGGGAGAATAAACTCACCACTCTCCCCTTCCCTAAGCCCTCACCTGACTCTTTCCTCTTCTTCAAATACCCTATCCTGATGTTACCTTGTGTACGAAACAGGACTTCCTCCCCACTAGCCTAAGGTCAGCTTTGGTCCTCTGACACTGCCTAATCATTTTGTTGCATTTCTCTTAAAGCTACTTGACACTAAGTACATGAAAGTGCTGCTTTACTGGACAATAAAATCATTGTGTACAAAGTTGTCATAGTCATCTTCGTCATTGTTTACTTCTTGTTCCACCTTTCCTCTACCATGGGTTTGAGTCCAATTGAGACTGGAATCACAGAAGTGAAGGTCTTGGGGACCCCTTGAGGGCTGACAGCCACCCAGTCTTTTAGGCACCACCTGCTCTCACCTTGCCCTCAAGGCTTGCTTGCCCAGTGGTGGCCTCCAAGGGATCCAAGGCATGTTCAGATCTCTGCCATGGAAAGTACTCATGCTGTGTGAGTTCCGTGTGGCCGTCCAGGCGCATGGACAGTGAAGCCAGCTGAAGCAAAGAGGTAGGGGAAATCAAAGGAACGTGAAAGCTGCTGACCGCCTAGGTCATCCTGCTGCCCAGCCACCATGACATTTCCATTCTCTTCTGCCCAGCCAAGCCCTGCTCTTCCTCGGCACTCTTGAGCCCTCTTCCACTCATCCTTATGATGCTATCATTTCTGGTTCGGCATGAATGGCTTCATTGCTTTGCTGCAGCTTCCAGACTAATTTTTATCTTTAACGTTCAATGTAAACGTAGCATAACACTATATTACGGCTCCTCAGCACGTGTTACGCATCTACATGAGAGAGAGCAAGCGAGAGAGAGAGCGCCACAAAGCCACAAATAGAGGAATCCTGTGCTTCTCTCCAACCCAAAACCATACTGTGCAAGCAGCTCCAATTTCTCCTTCAGGATGGGGTTTGTAAGAATGGTTCAAACAGAAATCGTAAGCTTGAGATCATGGCAGGTAGAGGGGTGGCGACCATACCCAGACTAGCGTTCACATCTGGATTTCCACAGAAGGCTCGGCTCCAGATTCAGTGAATGGATGTTTTTAAAGGCACCCCTTGGCATCTAATAGGTGGCCAGTAAATAATGATTATTTTCTTCAACACTCCTTTTTTCTAACCTGGGGTAAGAAATGCTTGGCTCCATAAATTCCTAAGTAACAATCATGGAGCTTCAAAGGATAATTTTCTCCAGAGTCTTTGGAAGGCACCCCCCTTAGTCAATTTGCATTTGCTCTTTTATTCTGTTTTGGTTTACATATTAGATTAAGCTTGCGGGAGCCTAAAAACACATGGTACATGACGTTTTCTAGAAAAAAATTCCAACCACACTTACTTTTTTAAAAGTGCTCTCAGATTTAACAGAAGGATTAGACTTCTTTTTTTAGATGTAATCCATTAATGACCATTTCAATTGTATCCATGTTGCTGTCATCTAGTGGGGAGTTTAGTGAGTGGAGAACTGAAGTTCCCCAACTAGCACAGTTCATCCAGAGCGCACTCCTGCCATCTGGTGGCCATATTTACCCTGCAGCCAGCAGCCCATGCTATAGCATTTTACCAAAGGGATTATTTTGTGGACGAATGCCTAAACTTGGCTGTTTAGAATCAGTGTGGTGGGGTGGCCCAGAGCTCCTGCATGGTGCCTTCTCATCTGACAAGAAAACAGGTAGGCCTGGCCTTGAGTCACACGGAGCTGGAACTCAGTATGAAATCCTGACTGCTGCTAAACACGATGTACCGAAGCTAAAGCTGGAAGTATCTTTAGAGATGGCCCACTCCTAATCTCCTGGAGGGGCTTACAGTCTTAGAAACATGAAATAATTCATAACCTGTTTTATTAGATTTGCAGCCTTCTGAATTCCTACATCTTTGCAGCTGTCTGTATTGAGAGAGTCTTTGGATACTTATTCTTCTTCCAGTGTGTACTGTTTAGTACCCACTTGCAAATTCTCTATAATTTTACTCTGCATGAGAAATTATATTTTAAAACTGTAGCTAGACAGGCCGTTAAGTCTCAAGCCCTCTCAAGAGTCCAGCAGACTCTGCCTTTTAGGGAAAAGATACCTTTATTGGTTCCTTCCAAATAATCACTTAGTCCAGGCTCTGGCCCAACTTGAGGTGAGAATATCCAGCCACACGGAATGGATTCAGCAACTCACTCCAGGCCTCTGCCAGAGCAGTTGTTCTGCTTTCATTTTATGGGCGCGGTGACTCATGTACCTGATCAGATTTCCCTCTGTGTGCAGACTGCTGGAAAGGCTCAGGAGGAAGCTGTGGCTCCCTCCTCCCAGGGAGTGTCCAGGATGCGCTCTGTGCATCCAGGCCCCATCCTGATTGCTGGCTCTGTGTCACAGACTGCACTCTGCCTCACCTTCCTGCCTGCCACACACACCGGGGTCTTCACAAAGTCTGTGGAAAATGTGTATTGTGAAAAATTCAGCAAAATTTTTTGCATATAAGTAACTTGTTTTTTTCATTTCATTTTTCATGAATATTTTGATGTCCCTTTGTGTGTCTATGAGCAGAACCTCACACTGCTCAATTTTTTTTCCCCAGGCCCATAAACCTATTGAAAAAATGCAGAATGTCTAGAGATATAAAGGATACAGAGAAGTGTGTATCTCTGTTTATAATAAATGCATATTTGCACACACAAAAACCAATACAAAAGCTTCTCTTTCAAAAGCAACAGTTGACTTTAAAATGTACCTTCTAAATAAGGAAATTTCTTTAAAAGTATAAAATATTCTGTGGCTAGATTTCTTTTTAAAAATATTATTTATTTGAATGCTAGAGTGACAGAGGAAAAGAAAAAAAAAAAAAAACAGAAAACTTCTATCCACTGGTTCATGTCTCAGATGTGGGTCAGGCACCTGGAACTCCACTGAGGTCTCCCACATGGGTGGCAGCGATCCATCTACTTGGACCATCATTTGCTGCTTCTCAGGCCTATTAGCAGGAAGCTGATCAATAGCAAAGTAGCCCTGAACCAGCACTGCGACAGGGGATGCAATGGTTCCAAGTGGCATCCTAACCCACTGCAGCACAACACCTCCCCCACCCTCAACTAGATTTCCTTAGCCAGAAGAAAAGAGATTCCAAGCTCACACAGTTTTACTTATATTATTTTTACTGGTTTTAAAAGAGAAGGTGAGAATTCCTATGGTAATTAAGACTGCTTTTTTTCCTCTCAGCTCTGAAAAATATTAAGATCCCATACATCTGATTTAGTTTCAACACTGGTGAAATACTATTTAGTTATTCAAATAATCTAACTGCTGGTAGTCTAGATTCAAACAATAGCTAAATTCAAAACTGTATCAGTCAATATCACTAGTTAACTAGAAACTTTGTTGCAAAAAATACATTGTTTTAAAGGCTAAAACATTTAGAATAAATACTAATCAGAGTACTTTCACTTTTCTTGCTGCCACAGGATTTGTTTTTAATTAAGATATTGGTCACAAACCTCTTTAATAAATTCTAAACATGATAAATTAAAAACTTCTATGTACATTTAACACAGAAATGTACAATTTTAAGGCAATTTTCCAAGTTGGTAAGAAGATCTCAACAAAGACTCTCCTTGACCTATTTTTTTAAGATTTATTTATTTATTTGAAAGAGTTACAGAGAGAGGGAAGGAGAATGTTCCCAGGGAGTGCAGTGGAGGATGGCCCAAGTGCTTGGGCCCTGCACCCCATGGGAGACCAGGATAAGCACCTGGCTCCTGCCATCGGATCAGCGCGGTGCGCTGGCTGCAGTGCACCGGCCGCGGCGGCCATTGGAGGGTGAACCAACAGCAAAGGAAGACCTTTCTCTCTGTCTCTCTCTCTCTCTCACTGTCCACTCTGCCTGTCAAAAAAAAAAAGAATGTTCCACCCTCTAGTTCGCACAGATGACCACAATGGCAAGGGCGGGGCCTGGCTGAAGCTAGGAGTCAGAAGCGTCATCTGGGTCTCCCACATGGATGAAGGGGCCCACACACCCTAGACCATCTTTCACTCCTTTAGCCAGGACATTAGCAGGGAGCTGAATGGGAAGTGGAGCAACCAGGACAGGAACAGGTACCCATGTGGGATGCTGGAGTAGCAGGCATTATGCAGCATTACCCGCTAAGCCACAGTGCCAGCCCCTTGACCTAACTCTTGCCAGGCTCCTTTGTAATCTTTCCTGGGGAGAGGTTCGTGGAGCTTGGATTCTGTCCTTACCCAGTTCACACCACGTTAAACATGAATCCTGCTGAGTCCCTTTACCCCAAATCCCCTAGTCTTGGGCTGACCACCTCTAAGTGTTCTGTTACCCACCTGGCCTGCTTTCAACAAAAACATTGTTAGATCCTTTTAGAAAAAAAAAAAAAATTACCACGCCTCTTAATATTATCCCATCCATGATGCCTGGCTCGGTTCTTTTCTCAAAAATCCCCCTTTGCTTATTGTACTCAGAGTTGGGCCTGATTTTATCCTCTACTGCAAAACCCTAGCCCCCTTGAATAAGCTTTTTCTTATTGCCATGAACAAGTGTGATGAGTAACTTTTTCTTTAACCTTTCCAGTGTTTGCCAGGAACAGCAGTGTGACATGCCGCCCACTCACCTGAACCCTGCTATGCCGCCTTTGTGCGAGCTGCTTGGGGCTGACATGATGAAAGAGACATATCAGGATTGTCTACATTTCAGAGTTTCAGAAACTCCTCTCCTTCCACAATCGCATTTCATCTCAACTATAAACTTATGAGATAAGGTTAAAGACTGGATTATACAGGAGGAGGGATGGAAGCTCAGGGACATCAAAAGGCTTGTCAGAATCCATACTGGAACAAGAGCTGAGATCTTCCAAACCTATTCTGGGTTTTTTCCCCACCGAGTATGTTCTCATGGCTGTGCTAAGGGCTTGATGGATTCCACCTGTGGATGAAAACAGGGGCACTTACCTCCTTATACTCAATCCAGCTACACACTCAATCACATGCTCTCACATTCTTCAGTCCTAGTCTCCAGGAGTTCATACAGAAAATGCGTAATTTATTTTATTTATTTATTTTTAAGATTTATTTATTTATTCGAAAGCCAGAGTTACACAGAGAGAGGAGAGGCAGAGGGAGGGAGGGAGAGAGAGAGGACTTCCATCTGCTGGTTCACTCCCCAGATGACTGCAACGGCCAGAGCTGCTCTGATCCAAAGCCAGGAGCCAGGAGCGAGGAGCTTCTTGT